AATTCTATCGGTAATTTTGTCTCTAAACAGTTAATATACATCAAAGTGAATCATGATCGTGAGCTACACTGCAAAATGGTTAATACAATTCGGTTAGCACTCAGGACTAGACAACATGAAGTCAGTTACTCTTCATTGAACAATCAATGTAGCTAGTCCAGTCCTACAGTAGGTCAATCGCAGCCCAGTTAGCTCAGTGGTAAAGTCGCTGACTAGAAAACTAAGTGATATGAGTTTGAATCTCACAAGAGACATCAATTATCCCGAGGTTGGAGACATCTTTTCCTGAAGAGTGGCAACAAGGATGAAATCCAAATCAGACAGCTCTTCCTGTCGATTACCTCCAAACAACTAACAATCACTTTGTATCTTCAAGGGAGATTCGCTTATGTATTACCCCTGTAGTGTCAAAACTAGCATGTATATAAGAAGATTAATAGACAGAGTTTCATTTATGTGTTAAACTCAATTCAAAACGAATATCAGTTATGCTAAACGTCTTCTCATCTGCTAAGTTTATTCTTGACTAGTGAATGAACCTGTAAAAGCTTACCAGCTTATCGTCTATTCTAAAGGGACTTATGCTTCCATATGGTTTCATTTTCGTCCATCTTACTTTCCAACTTAACAAATATTTGGTATCAAATATTCGTCATTGTGTCACTGTGCAATGCCCAACATAATTTATATATATATATATATATATATATATATATATATATATATATATATTACTCAGTTTTGAGGTTCATTCGGATTCATTGATTTCAGATTGGCATTCACCAAGGACTGATATCGTGAACTGATAGAAGTAGGAAACATGAACCGTTGGATCCCGACCCCAGTGGCTCAGTGGTAACATGCTGGCCGCAGAATTCGAAGGTCTTGAGTTTGATCCCTCCCAGAGTCGTTGGTGCATACTCCCGGGGGCTTCCATACTAGGAAGAAGCAGTAGTTCAGTGGTCTCAGGTTCCCAGTGTTTCTCAAATTGATGTCAGTCCATGATAAATACTAACCTGAATATATATATATATATATATATATATATATATATATATATATTCTGTACTTTATTTTCTCCACCATCTTTTAATGCTGTACAAATTTAATTCAGAAGAAACAAGTTATGAAAACAGCGAAACAAATGACGAAATGGTGGGAGAGGAGGACGGAAGTGACGAAGTGTCACTACTGACTTCATGCAACTGTATTCAATGACTTGCATTTTTGATCATGATTATTGATGAAAAGTTTACTGCATGATACAAAATTTTACATCATAACTAAGTATATTTTGATATTGTATGCACTGTTTACAAACAAATCGTCTAAAACTGTTTAGTTACATCAATACCATGTATTTATCATCTTTTAGTATAAATTTCTTGAAGACAAGTACTTACCAAACATAACTTCAAGCCAAATCAAGCGAAATGTCAAGTAGGAATTAGAAGCAAAGAACTTCTAAAACATTTTTGTTATTGTAGTCTGACATCCTTTATCGCAACATCACACCAAGATACTGGTTGGTAAGATGACAAACAATCACTTATCTTAACAAGTCATAGAGTAAAAATAAAACGTAATAAACTGAATAATCAAATGCTACAATAGGATTATATTTAAAAAATTTAGATGGCAATAAAACGTGGATATACATACTCCTATACAATTAAGATTGAGTTGTGTCACTTACAGTATCCCACCATCAGTTTTGGTTGTCGTTTGAGTCCCAACAAGCGAGAGCTCATACCTCGAAATGGCTGACACCAGTGGTCATATTTTCTACCAATAGTTTCCTTATCTTGTCCAGGACACCTATGAGCTAATACTACTCCAAGTGATAGCAAATTGAGGTAAACAATTTATTGGAATGTGTTTAAAATGTCCTAGTGAAGTCAGCCATTCTAGGTTAATAAACTTGTCAGGTTGGATATTTTCCTAATCTAATACATTTCACCTAGTTTTAACACAGCTCACTTTACTCGAACAATGCTGTAAAGATATTGAGTGTAAGGTGTGAAACGTTCTAGCCGATCAGCCGTCTTTATCATTCATGGTTCAGATCCATATAGTAAGACTAAACGCACCTTTATACAGTGAAATTAGCTTCAAATAGACTACCAGAAATCCCACTAGTGATGCTAGTAAACCAAGTTGGCCTAGGTCACTCTAACCACTTATTTCACGCCAAATGTCCGTTCACCACCAACCCACCACGGTTGATGTGAATTTTCAGGTGAGCTAGGAGGTTAGTGCATTATAAAACATTTCTGAATGGTTATGAAATGAATGTTTCGTTTTATTCGAGCTATCCATCATAAATTGCAATATGTTCAACTACCATCTGTTAAGTGGAGAAAAGAAATATATACAGGGAGGGTTTTCTCATTTAAGCCTTCATCATATCAGTTTGTAAATCGCTGTAATCGAATAAATGCTTCATATACAGCGAATACGCATTAGTAGAAGCATGTATTCTCCACTGGTAATGTATGATGACAGGAAGAACCCACTTTCATGAGGAATTAGGAAACTAAACCTATACCCTGAGTTGTAAGTATACTGAGCATTAGCACATAATTCTGTGTGTATTCAGTGTTCAATATATAATAATTACTCAAGATAAACAAAGCTTAAGGTCACATCAAGCAAAATGTTTATACCATTATTGTGATTCATCAGAGTTTTACTTAAAAAAAATAACAATTACCTGTATGGACAAATAAGATGTGACTGAGGAGAGACAGAGTCACTTGTCAGATCTTCAGTTAGGTCTCAGTTAGGCACAAAACTAGTATATAATCTGTAGACTGTGACGTAAACACCAAGAAAAGACATAACAAGGAATGAAGATACTTCATCATCTACGAATGTATCTTATCTTCATCTTTTGTCTGATGTTTTTGTGGCTTAGAGACGAAGCATACATTTGAGGTATCAGCACAAGCTGTTATCAGAAGATAACTACAACTGAGGATAACAAGTTGCTAGATTAATCTAATATTGCACATTTTCACATTTTTTTTGCTCATCTACATTGTCACACTTTACTACACACAAAAGTGCACAAATTTAGCTTGTATAACACACTTTGCACATGTATTTTGTTTCATTTAATTTCGCATGAATTGAAACAGAGTGCATGGAGCTGATCAATTATTTGATATATCTTGTTATTTTTCTCGTTGCATCATATTTCGTCATAAAATTTTAATATTTCTTGAAAGGGTAGACTGATTTAAATTTTACAGACAAAATGATTTTCAGAATAATGTGTTGTAAATTTGATGAATACCATGTACATTCAATGGTATTTATTGAGTAATATAAAATATTCAAGTTCATAACACCGCCTATTTGACTACACGGGTTGATCAGATTGGTCGAATGTAATAAACTTCCAGTAGCATTTGGAGTTAAGATTTTTATGCAAACAACCTACAAAAAGTCGATGTTTACATATTTTTTCAACATCTTTATAATACTTGACTGAAAACACGTTTGCATCCTCTCTTAACCAGTCAAGCTGGGTAATGTTCGTTAGCATGTTCTACAAGCGGAGGCATAGTACGACTGATGTGTGCTCTCGAACACTAATCAGCCTGGTTGGTAAAGGGGGGATGGAAATGTATCTATGCCTCAATAACGGAATACCTTATGAACTCAGGCCACTCAGCTCGTGTCGATATGTGGAATAGAAGCTGACGCATTGGTTCACATCAGTTTGTGTATAAGAGTTTAACTGATCCAGTGGAGCCTAGTACACCAGTCGTACCATGCATCCACTTGTAAAGTGTGCTTGCGAACACTACCCCCTCTGGCTGGCAAAGAGAAAACGAAAATTCTCCTTTATGATAAGTATGTTCGGAATTCCTTCATCTTAGATGATAGTTTTTTAAGAAGATACTAATCACATGACAACTGAAGATTTAACGGCCACCTGTATTTGATAAAAGCGCTAAACAAACTATTCAGCCCGAAAACATCTTTGATATATTAATCAGTATGGCTTATAAGTTCTCATTTTCTAACTGATAAATAAATATTTAGTGTGGTCACCGAGTTAAATATATTGAAAATACCATGGTAAGATACAGCAGTATACACGAACTGATTAGTGGATGATTACGGATGTAGTTGTCAAGTCCTGTGAGTTCAACACTTATCGTTATCTATTGGTAGAGTAAGCAGTGTCCACACACTAAGCTAAGAAACCATTTTGTGACTAATTTGTATACAAATGACGGTTTTCCAGACGATAATTTATAGATTGAATGATTTATTAATAAATTTTTAACATGGTTTTGAACCTCTAAAAGAAAATAAGTTTTCACAAGATCATACATACGGATTACTGACAAGTACCAAAAGGCATGAAACCTACATCCAAAGTTTCTAGGTGACAGACTTCTAAAGTTTGGAACCGTTTTCGATTGAGACACCCATCTACTTTTGGTTGACATTGGTATTAAGAAGATTATGATCACCAATATGACACAATTTATGGTACCTACTTAGGTGAGTTCCATTAAATATTGTCTGTGGGTTACAACTTTATGTGCAAAGTTCGTAGAAATAATAGTGAGAAGTACGTTACCCATTTTAACCTCCTGCCTCAAATCTTGTTAATATATTGGCAGAAAAGAAATTTTTACAACTAGACGTACACTTCTTTGCAATTTCAGCTACATTGTCATAATATAGAGTAAGCCAGACCACTTACATCCATCTCTCACACTCATCAATGAACTGCACAGATATAACCTAATAGCCGTCTCGATGGCTATTTACTGCCAATTTAAACAACAATTACGCATTAATGTTTTCTTAGTTTCAGATATACTATGCAATACATTTGCATTCTGTGCAATAAATATATTTGCATCAACATTGAATAGTTCACCTTTTAGTTATTTTCAAATTAATGTTTCACACCTTCTTTGGTTAATGTGATTGTAATAATTACTAATGTTATCATTCTGCTTCATTTTGCACAGTTAATCAAGAGCAAAACAGAACTAGTGGAAAGAACAAGACTACACGAGTTATTCGTAGTGGAAAACAGACATGTGATACGGATAGACCAGAAGTGAGTGATGAGGTGCAACCTTTGTTCTTGTAAATTTTCCACTGTTGAAGGTTTATACTTCATTTTATGTGATTTAAATTCACTGGTAGGCTGCTATCTAATGGTACGTGCAGCATATTCATGTTTGTTGATGTCCCCTCTATGAAGTGACGTTAGGCATCAAAATCTGAACCAGTATTCGACGTTTTAGATCTTACAGTATAAACATCAATTTGTACGTCTCTGGTTAGAGTCTTCTCTGTAGAAGTCTTATGACACAAATTATTATCTGCATTTTTTGGTTATAGGTGCTAGCTTTTCAAATAAATGCAAAACAGAAACTGGGACCAGATCCAGACTGACAGCTTTTGAACTATTGGCTCAAGAAAATGAGCGTTTGTTATTGCGCTAATTACACAAACATTTCTCTTCTAATTGCATTATATTAGGTGTATGAACTAAACCTACACTGAAGTATGAACAGAGAAATGTATACCTACTCAACAAGCAAGAAGTATCTTACTACACTTCTTTTTTGTATAGTGAACTGTGCTACAGAGTATACTAAAGTCTTAACTGATTTCGAGTCCCCAGATCACTGTAGCCAACAATACATTTTCATTGACCCACTAATCTTTGAGAAATCAGAATACTTGAGAATATGCTATACAATTACATATAATTTTGAAGCAGACATATTATACCACCTTTGTGCTAACTAACTATTTATTGATACTGCATGATGATTGAAGGTGAAGCTGAAAACTGCGGAACGGTAGGATTCGGACCAGTGTAGATAATATGGGATTGTCAAATCACAGGCTGTCAGAGTGATTAACAACTACTTATTTCAGAGTACCTTCATCAGTAGCTGGTGCCAGTTGGGGAACCAATGAAAATCCGGGAGTGGTGGACAGCTGTTTCGTCCTAGTAGAGAACTCTTCAGTATTATGCACCCATGGACCCCCAGAGATCGAATCCAGGACCCTCGGGTCTCTTGGTGAATACGATAGCAACTCAGCCAATGCATGTGGTTCCAGTGGTCTGTAGCCTCCTACTTCTGTCAATTTATAACATAACGTGACTATCCACTAAAGTCATGAGTTGGCGTCCACTTCACCTCCAACTGTTTAGTGCGTATTACTGAAGAATGCCATACTAGGACGAAACAGCCGTCCAGTGCTGTTGATTTTCTATCGGTTCCCCTACTGGTTCCAGTCTATGATGTATACTACCTTGAAAATAATACGTCCATTAACCTCAAACTAAGAAACTACTTATTAGCATTTATCGACATACTTGTAGTTCTCTTTTATTTTATTGGATCTAATTGTTCGACCTCTATTGGCATATGGGCTCCCATGAGGATGCCTCGATATTGCCTGAATGTGAATTATGGTAATTTTTTTTGGTTGTGGCTAAAACAATAGAGGATTACAAGTATATCAATAAACAGTATTAACTAATACCCGTTGTACAAGAGGTGACTATCGTGCCTCCGAGGCCCAGTGGATAACGCCTTGGTGTTCGAAGGGGTGGGCCAAAAGCTATTTCCAGGTGTTACAGCGTTTTGTATGAAAACGTGAGTTCTCTGTGTCCTGCATCCATATTTTTTGAGGTAAAAACTGCGATTACAAGTCCCTTTTAGTGCGATTTGAAGCTCCAACTTACTCACTGTGATCTGTGAGTATCATTTATCCTAAATAACTGTACTCACTTTTCGCCAAAATGGAAGTGCAGCTAACAGTTTGCACAAGAATAAACGGCATGAAACACGATTCAGTGATGGACAACATTGTAAAAACTACACAGACAGGTAAAATATTCATACAGAATACTGAAAATGTGTGCATTTTCCTCAAAAAACTCAACAACCTACGATAAGCACGATAACACCTGGGGATAACTTTTATCCTCATCCCGTTTGAAGCGATGGATACGAGGTTCCAGTCTCACTGGGAACAACACCATTCACTAGGTTGAACGTACACCCAGTTGACGAGTTCCAAATAGGAAGAAACGTGTGTCATGGATTCTTCAGCTAGCCACAACCAAATAAATTAGAAAACTACTTGCTTAGGATTAAAGTATTTACTATTGTTTGGATACCCTAATAATATGTAGCGAAATTGTATCAGTCAAATCTGACACTCCGTTGACCTTAATGTCTATGTCTTATACGATGTAATTAAATCATATGTGATAATTACTTTGGTACCAAACCAAATTGTGAATTCCTGTCTCAGCATCAGTAACGTTAGTAACGGTGTATGCATAATTACTCACTCTAATATTTTAAATCTAAACGAAATCAACAGGTAAGTGATAGTAATTAAATGCTGTTACTAGTCAATTTTCCTCAGTGAGTCAGTTTTTTCAGGTCAAGAATATGTATTTCAGTGAGTTAGAAATTCCTATATCAAGTCATTTAGGAAAGACTGACCATATCATTTTTAAAACTGTGAAATACGTGAACTAGTCACCGCGTAATAGCCGTATTTATGCTGTTTTGGTCAAACCTCTTATCATTTTGCACTTCACCCACTAAGTCAGAAGAGTCACTATAGTGTTTTGCTTTGATCGACATTTAGTGATAGAAGGTGATCGGTAAGAGACTCTGGAACTAGGTTCCATAGCTTTTACCACTAACCAGCTATGCATATTTATAACCTTAGTGAGAATAATGCCATCCGAGACACATGAAGTTATGCCACCTAATATTGCAGTTCAAGACGTTAAGGCTAGGTTATGCAGGCTAAAACTGACTTACTATGGACGTGAGTGAAATAAAGTGATCGATCACTAGATTGGAATTAGTTTCACACTGTCTTTTGATAATTAGTGACGTAGCTGTTTTGATTCAACATCCCAGAAACGTAATTTTGAATGTGTAAAAAGACACGTCTCGCTGACGACTGCCAATAAGCAAACTACATCAAACTTGGTGCTTGAAAAAAATGATTTTTCAGTGAACGGCAAGAGTAGAAACTGACAAGACAAGAAATAATTATTTTATGATGATTGTGAAAGTTATCAAGTAAACTCGGAAACTACAAAATACTAATCGAATAGTTCAAGGGAAAAGAGCATAGACTATGGGAAAATTTGCTGTTTTCATCACTTTGTGCATTGTAATCAGATTAAAGATTTTGAATGGCTAGTGATCCAGCCTTTTGAAATATCAAAGATTTTTAATTGAGGATGATGATAAAATGCTTTAAAATTTAACCATGGATAATCCAAAACCAGGCTTAAGTGACTTCATCACTACCTACTTGATCAATATGATATCATTAATTCTGGTAGCGAAATATCAAAGCCAAGGGAAGACTATACTATTGGTTTAACTTTCTTTGCATAGTTGATTTCAACAGTTCCTTAGATTGATACGAGTTGACTTGGTAAGATATTTGGGGTCAGAGAGAATAGTTAAACGTAGAGAGATGTTGATGCAATTACGAATGGTACTGTTGGTATTTCTTCTCTGTAATTTTTTTTGTATTTAAGTTTAACAGTGTTGAAAAATGCATTAACCCAGTTGATACTGTATACATTTAGTGTATATTGTTTGACAGTAACAGGAAGAATAATGTATGCATTTCAAATGAACAGTACTCTATAGTTTATCCAAGGTTGAATCAACCTTTGATTACATAGAGTCATTCAGAGACTCAAAGTATAAAGTGTTTGTTCAAAAGTTTGTTTATCTTTCAAATTATTTTTTTTTTAATACTCAATATTATGCTAAGTGAATTGTTATTGAATGAATATGTAAATAGAGCTTGTAAATCATTTGGCCAAATCGAATGTTTTGGTTCCTATCTTCCTTTGTACAATGACTAATTCAATTGACTATGTTTTGAAATCAAATGCTAAAGTTTAAAAAGCCATTTCACACACCTTCAAATAAACTGATTTTCAATTATATTGAGTAAAAAAAGCGTTCATAGGGTAATGTATATTACTCAAACTAGCAATGATTGAATGTATATGTAGTGTATTTCTTTAAATAAAGTTTTTAAGTCAATAATATTCTAATATTCACGTTTTCACCGTTATAGTTAAACAGATAATGAATGTATTTGTTTTTGTTCTAAGAACTTTTATTTTCGCGGTCGATTCTTACTATATACTACTATCACTAAAGAGATTCATTAAATAGTTATCTGATATTTACCGATTAAAAATTGAAACAAAGAATGTTATGTATACAGCCACTTCAAAGGCCATCCCAGTAACTGCTAAGATGACTAACAAGCCCTTTATATTCTACTGGAAACCACCGTTTTAGATAAAATAGAGAAATTTAACTGGTTAGTAAAGTAGTTACTAGGATATTCTTTACTGTTACTTGTATCCGAAAGCTTTTTCTGTACACTGATAAATTTTTAGTAGATATTTTGCAATTCATTTTTCTTATCGTAAGAAATGTGATGCAGGTAATGTTGCTTGGTAACTACGTGCAGTTCCAAGCACAAATCGGAGTCATAATTACTGTTTAAAACCTGATGACAACATGTAACTGCCAAATCCATATACGGAGAGTTGATCTCTAATCTATGCTCACTAGATAAAAGTTCACTACCTAGTCCAATAACTTAAAGCTCCTTATTTCTTATCGAAGACATCAGTTCGATTTTTTAGATAAAGTTGAACCGTAATTACATATGAGGAAGGGAGATTACGCAATGTAATTAATGACCTTTAAAATAAAATCCTGACTGTTTAAAGTATAGTGGAAATATGTTGACAACCGACTAACTGGATACATTTTGACATAATACATGTGTTTATGTTTAAATCTGGCCTACTTAAGTTAGTACCATGCTCTACTATATCTTAACCACTGAAATCATAACGCTTGATAATTATGGAAGCTGTACCGTGGAGACAAAACTGTAAACGACACTACTACTACTGCCGCTGCTAGTGCTTCTGCTTCTGGGACTGTTACTGCTGATACTACTACTACTAACTGTAGTAATAATCGTAACAATGCTTGCTGTAAAAACATTTTACGA